GGACGGCGCGAGGTGCTGCTCTAACTGGAGACGCACTTCGCGGTGGGGTCGGCGACCGCCCGAAGACCTCGATTCGTCTAGCGGCGGCGGCGGCGGCAACGGCGGCTCGTCAGCAGCAGGAGGAGGAGGAGCCTTCCACGCCCCCCCACCACAGCGACGACGAGAGCGCGGTAGGTGACTCGTTCGACGGCTCGGATTCGTTCGTCGGAGACTCGCTGAGCTGCGGCTCCTCGCTCGTGACGACAACGTGCGAGATGGGGAGCTGCGGCGCCTCCCTCGGGGAGACCCTGAGCGTGGTGGAGGAGTGCGAGGTCGAGGAGGACCCCTCGCCGGAGGAGGAGCAGGAGGAGGAGGAGGACCTCAGCCTCACAGACCCGGACACTTCGCCCGAAGCCAGCACGCTCATGAACGCCAGCTCGACCCCCGCGGACGAGTCCACCTACCTGTAACAAAAGTTCCCCGAGTGGCACGCCCACCGGCGGGCCTGCGCGGCGGGGGCGGGGCAGGGCGGCCCTCCGCCCCTCCCCCTCTCCCGTCGCAGGACTCGCTCAGACACTCGGAGGACTTTTCAACCCCACCACGAAATATGTTTCCAGTCAGGCGACACCTCGGTGATCCAGCAGCGATGATCAAGCTTCCCTTGCTCTGCTCAGGAGCATCTACTGCCAACTCCGGTCAGGAAACCTCGTACGAAGTTGACTGGCAGCAGTTCCGCAGATTCGGACTCGTCTCGGCGAGGCGAGGCCGGCCCGAGCGCAGGAGGCCAGCGGCGCGCGAGCGAGCGCCTTCGCCTTCCTCGCTCGCCCTCGAACCTGCGGGAACTCCTGGCCACGCGGGCGGCCTCCGGGCTGCCGCGACTTCCAGCAGTTCTGTTTCTTAGTTCCCCGTTCTGTGAAAGAGAGATATATACATATACTTATATCTACTTCTCAATAAATGGTGCTGAGCTACTTTATAACCTGAACTCACTCACGGCCCCGAGTGAAGGAGGAGAGCAGTGAAAGGCGGATGTGACGTCATGTTCCCTTGTGCGAGGTCACGCGAGGTAACACCACCGGCCGCGTGACCTCCAGACGCTCAAAATAATTCCCTACGACTTAAATCTTTGGCTCACGATAACCCTGGCGCGGCTTGAACTCTCAGACTAACCCCAAAGCCCCTTAGGGTTATACCTGCCAGAGAAGATCTCATAATATTTTTCATGATTATAGTTACAGACAGAGAAGGAGTTCGTGTTTAATCTGTTTCACTGTTTCACTGTTTTTTATTTTATAATATATGGGGAAACTGTTGTGTTCCCCGACGGAGAGATATTTTTGTTATGTGCTCTGTGTTATATCTACTTATAAAACTATACAATAAGATAGAGTGTTGTGCAGTCATTGCCCGGTGCGCGGCTAGTCTGTGCTACAGGAGAGACAGGTGTATATTTAAAAAAATCAATTATCTTAACTCATTCTCTGTGTCATGTGTTAGAGATGTGAAGAGAAGAAAAATAAAAGGTTAACAAGATTTGATAAATTAGCTACGAAAAGGTTTTCAAAAATCAACAGAAGATATACGCTTCCATCCCTGGTGAATGTTGTTTTTATGAGATTATAGAGATGTATAGGTGTGTATCCCCGCCCATATCCGTGTGATACCTCCCCCCCTTCAGCCCGCCCTCGAGCGAGCACGCCCGGGAGGCCGCGGGCGGACCGAGAGACCAGGGGCGCGGATGGAAGTATGCCGGGGGGCGCCGCTGTCATGCCACGCTCATGCCCTCTACGCCTGCATGCCCCCTGTCCCGTTGACTGAACCTTCTGTGCCTCAGTGCTACCGCCGTCACCACCTACCACCGCCATCCTCCCGTTCCTGCAGCCTGGTGCTCGAGTGCCAGTGCCACATGCCCCTCTGCAACACGCGTGCCTTCACACTGTTTCTTCCCCGCGCTTGCATGCTTCCTCCACAAGGCCATCTTTGCCATACGCCATCTCTTAATCAACAGGGTAATTATGACCCTATTCTGTTTGCATTCCACTGCCAATGACACTCCGAGCACCTCCGCCGTGCTTGCCAAATGAGACATTCGTCCCCAGTGCTTCGCCACGGTCATCATGCCTTCCCCGCTCCCGCCCACTCCACCGCCAGCCTCACTCGCCCATGTCTGGTCGTAACTTTCGACAGGTCACTCCCCAAGCTAAAGTACACACAAGTTCTCTTTGACAAGTTCATTGCCTGTGAAGTCTTTATGTACACACTCCCGACCTCCTCTTGTGTTGTTTCCCTTTCACGCTCATAACGCGAGTGTATTGGCTTACACCCGCGCGCTCCACTTGCTTCCGTTCTGTGTGAGTGATTGGGTGTAGGCTGTTCCTGCTTTTATCTCTCCCAGCTTGATCATCTCCATAGAAATATTCCATGCATTTCCACTCTCAGTAACTCACCCATAACTTTGTCATAAACAGACGTTAGCACTATCGCTTTTCCCCACTACCACATTCTCACATGTCATCGCCCC